AAGTGCTTGGCTCGTGCCCAGCCGACCGGCAGGCGATGCCCACTCGCTGCTAGGCTAATCTCGGGCTGTCAAGCGGCGGTGTGGTGCCGTGAAGGGCAGCGGTGCCAAAACTACGACTATTAGTACCGTGCGGGGGCAGAGTGCACTTAATTCTGTCAAAAATCGAAATGTGCCCCGTGGGACGTATTGGGCTAGGATCATACGTCCGGGAGGCCCCCCTTGGCCTTGCGTGCCGCAACGACCCACAGTGCTGGTACCACTCTCTTCACAGCTCTTAAGTGTGCCATAACTACGATAGTGCGGGTACCCGCACTTGGAGCACTTGGAGTGCAGTCATTAACCGCACATCCAGGGCCGGGGAGCTAAGAAGAGCGCACCCAGCGGGCCGGATGATTGGCATCGGGTTACGGGCTAGAGAGCCCTAGCCCCGGGGGTGCGCGTTCGCAGGGAAAGGGCCGTAAAGTAAACACGGGTCTCCGAGGGTTGGCTCCGCGCTCCGGGTTTCCCCTTAGCAGCAGACCGCCCCCTCTACTCGGAGCTATAATGAACACCAGACATGCACACGACACGCACTCTCACACGACGTCACCGCTCAGGGCCCCTTCGCGTAAGGTCCTCATCCTCACTCCGGAGGAGGCTCCCCTCTCCTCTGAGTTCTTCCTCTTGTTCGCCTGCCGAGGCGGTGCCCGGTGCCGAGCGCAGGCGGCCATCCATCCGTAAGATACGAGCTTGTATCGATAGAAATTGCGCCGTTGACATCTCAGCTCTTCACACGGCCTCCCTCGGCTCAGAGATTCCGCGACGTCCCTCAAAGTGATGGCTAACCTCGAAATCTGCACCTTGGATGGCTGCGCTCCCTGTTTCGCAGCCATCCGTGCTAAGGATGGCTGGCACGCCTAGATCTCAGCCATGCACTCCTACCGGATGGCTGAGAACTAGGCATGCCAGCCATCCTTAATTCACATGGTTGCAATTAAAGCATCCTGGCCACTCCGCCTCCCAGCACGCGCCATTCTGGCTGCGTTCCCGTCAGCGCAGCCATCCTCCGGCCGATGGCTGCGATGGCTGTGTCCCGGCCATCCGCCCGGCCGCATGATTGATGGCTGTCATACAGCCGTCGCAGCCATCGGCCGGACGATGGCTGTCGCGAATTCGACCCAGCCTTCTCGCCGCCCCCGACACGACGAGCGCAGGTGGCTCCACTCACGCTGCGCGAGCCACCACACCCTTTTCGGATG